CCCAGTGCACGAAATTTGTGCAGGGGCAGGGGTCCTTCAGCTCAGCCTGCACCCTCTCCAATCCTGGTCCCTCTCATAATCTGGAACCACTGGCTCCTAAGTGCTCACCTGCCTGCTTGCCTGATGACCCTAACTGCTCCCCTCCTGGCCTGATCACCCTAACCACCTATCTGCTCTCCCCTCTTGACCTGATCACCCTAACCACCTATCTGCTCTCCCCTCCTGACCTGATCACCCTAACCACCTATCTGCTCTCCCCTCCTGGCCTGATCACCCTGCCTAACTGGGACCTTCTCCCTTCTGCCGAGGCACCGGCCTTCTCACCTTCTCCCTTCTGCCTTCTCCCAAGGTACCAGCCTTCTAACCTTTTCCCTTCTGCCGGCTCCTGCATGGTGCTGGCCTTCTCACCTTCTCCCTTCTACCATCTCCCAAGGCACCGGCTTTCTCACCTTCTCCCTTCTGCTTCTCCCTGGGCGCTGCCTACCCTCTAGTTGCCTCAGGCTGGTCCCTCATTCTCCCCGCACCTCCCCGCTTCTGCCTCATCTCTGGAGCAATGCCCGGTGGCATGCATAGGAGCCAATAAAGAGATAATATGCTAATGGTTCAGTCGTGACCCGTTATGGCGTCCTGGCCTAATTTGCATATTACCTCTTTGTATATATAGTTTCTTATTTGTCAAAAACACTGAAACAAAGAAAAATTATGTAAACCTCAGTTCTGGTGAGTAAGATAGCAGAGCTGTCCTCCTGCACCAGGCCAGCACAGCTCCCAGCATTTAGGCCCCAGCATCAGCAATGCTAAGCCACTGACAGTCGTATCTTAACTAAAAGTAACTCAACTTTTAGTTACTTTTGGGCATTGTTATTGGCTGCAAAGCTTCTGAGTATACCTCAAAGGTTCTTCCTAAGAGTTTGAGCTGCCCAGTGCCCTTTAATAAATTCTTTTCCTGCCCTAACCAGTTTGGCTCAATGGATAGAGCGTTGGCCTGTGGACTGAAGGGTCCCAGGTTCAATTCCGGTCAAGGGCATGTACATTGGTTGCAGGCACATCCCCAGTAGGGAGTGTGAAGGAGGCAGCTGATCGATGTTTCTCTGTCATCGATGTTTTTAACTTTCTATCCCTCTCCTTTCCTCTCTGTAAAAAATCAATAAAATATATATATTTTTAAATTATTTTAAAAAATTCTTTTCCTGCTTAAATTAAGCAAATTAAGCAAACAACTAATATTAAATCAATCAATAAGCCAACCTATCCTTCACTTAGGATTACATAAACAATGATTAAGAATGGAGGGGAGGAAAAGAAGAGTTATTGCTCAACTATAAAACAAAGGTATAATAATGTGGGCTTTCAGACATTTTAACCGATTAATATAGGCTATATTTATATAGTTAAATGCAGTCTTTTTACTTCACTTATTTTCATTGCTTTTAAAAGTCGGTGCTTATTTTGATTTAGCATTATGTTCATTTATTTCACCATAGAATCTACGTCACAGGCCTAATCTACTTTTTTACTTTCTAGGAATTGCATAGTGTATTAAAAAGTTTGTTTAACCAGACTCATTTATGATGTGTCAAATATTCATTTATATTCTTCTAATAAACTTTGGCAAGGACTATATTAAAAATTTCAATTGTATTCAATAAAGTCATTTTTCAGTAAATCATTGTGCCTTACTTTATACAACTAAGTACATTAAATCAAGTCTTGATTTAAAGGCACAATACAATCAGCTCATTTAAAGACACTTGTAAATTTTTAAAATTTGGGAATCTTTCTGTAAAATACAGAATAACAATTTCCCTTTTGCTTGAATGTTTTACAATTGAATTTTTAGAATGTTGAATTTTCTCTACATGGCATAGAGCTCCACACCTGTGCTAAAGCAGCCTTGTAATCACAGAGCAGTTCTAGGAGACAGAAACCATTTAGTTGTGATAATATAGAAAGCGATTTAATACAAGAAACTAGGTGCTTAGCACATCACTGAAAGATTGGAGAAGTAAACTCTCAGCTTGGCCTATAGGTATGATGTTCATAAGGCCACCAAACAGCCACTAGGTGAGAAGACACCTTTGGTACTGTTAGAAGCAAAGAATCAGAATACTATTGCCAACCAGTTGTTGAACTGAAGAACATTATTACAAGATCAGGAAATCTACCACAACTGCCTCTTGACATACAAAAAACTTGTGACTGGACACTGGCAGGTTGCTTTCAAAGCAACACAAAATAAAAATCTTCATTGTATAACACCAAAGCAGTGGAAAGATGGCTTCCATTCCATTTTCAGATTAATTGCCAGATTTTCTTAAGCCCTGCAAGGTCACCTATAAGGAAGCTGTAAGGAAGCCCAAGCCTCCTGAAAAAGCCACAAATGGCAGTCCCAACTGAACTCAGCCTTGGCACCGTTCTAGCCCAGGCATGTGAGGAAAGAAGCCTCTAAGGATTCCAAGCCCCCAGACATGCAAGTACCTGAATGAAGGCCCCTCGCATCATGGATGTAACATCCCCACCTTGCCTCAGCTACTTAAATTATGGCCCACAGGATCTGTGAACATAATATAATGATTGTGATTTTATATCAGTAACATTTGTAGTGTTTTTTTTATGCAATAAGAGCTAACATATGTGATATCATATATATTTTGTGTTTCAATTTAGCATTTTTAAAGGGCATCATACTGTTACATGATTATATACCACAATGTACCTAAACTTTTATGCTCAATTTTAAAGGATAGCTGGTGTCCAATTTTTTTCTATAAGAACTAATACCATGGTGAATAATTTTATCCATAGAGGTTTTTGTTTTTCTTTTATATTTAGCATCACTTCTTTATCATAAATTTCCAGAATGATTGTGTCTGGACTATGACCAAATTTCTTTCAAAGTGTTTTGTATCAATTCATATTTATCTTTAATATTTAGCATGATAGAAAAAAAGTTTTAAAGAAAACAAATTTACTTCCATTTATTTTAAAATTTTAAGTACAAAAATAAATCCTTTTTTTAATCAGCCCTATTGAAAACAAAAATATATGGCCAAAAACCCTGGGCTTCCCAATATATGGTCATGTAAGTTGGACCTTGTGAATCAAACATGAGAACCTGAGAACTACATGAGAACTACAGCATATTGAGGGACTAGCATGTTGAGCTGAAATGAAATAATATTCACATGAAACAGCCAGCAAGAAATGATAATAGCTAGGCAAGGGCTTTGGCTTAGCAAGTGCAAGAGGTCCTGTCTAAGTAAACAAATTTTACTATTCCCAGGGCTCTACCATATACTGTTGTACATGGCTAAGAAGGCTGTGAGTCTATCCCACATTCCTCTGGACAAGCAGTGAGCTGCAGAACAAGGCATTACATCTGAGAAAGGGGCAACTTGGCCTAACTGGTATACCGGGGTGGGGAGTATTTTTGGCAATTGCACCCTCGAAGTAGTTGCCATTTTCAAATTCACTGTAAGTCCTTGTTAGCGCCAGCTCTTGCCCTCAGAGTTCTTCCTATGTATAGGCCTAGATTTTATAGTGAAGGAGTGGTAGAGCTTTTGATTTCAGCCTCCCCATGGCTAACTCTTCGTGGGATATTTCTGCCTTTCCACTTGGGAAATATGGGATTTCTGAGATCTATGTTAGTATGGAAAAATGACTGGCCTAAAGAGCTTGCATTACACAAGCCACTCCTAAACCCTCCCAAATAATTTTTGTGACCCTGGGTCCCAGTTTTTAAACAGACAGACACTCAAAGAGAAAATTGTGATTAAACTCCTGCCTCCATGAATACTACTTATGTAATATTGGACAATTTTCTGGATCCTTTTTTTCCTAAGTTTCAGTTTCCTTATATACAAAATCAGGATAATAAAGCACATTCCTTGCAGGGTTGCTGTGAAGATTAAATGAATAGTGTGTATAAAATGCCTGGCATTTAAAATATTCAATAAATGTTAACTCTCATTTTAAAAAATAGTAAATGCACACTAAAGTGCATTCAAATAGTGAAGCCTAATTCTCATCCTTGCATAAGCTGCAAGGGAATATAGGAAATGCATGATTTTAAGTTTTCAAATATGCAGTATAGAAGGCTGTAATGGAGGGGATACTGAGAGCCAGTGCCCCGTGTCCAACATTTATTTAAACATGAATTCTCCCTTAAACGCTATTGTCTTTTTTCCAAACAAGAACATTTAAAACACATTCTGAATATTGCAGCACTATGAGATGATATTTTAAATATTGTTTAGCATTAAGAAAAATAAGACATTTTTGTACAGTTATTTGCAAGTTTAAATTATATCAAAACAGAGCTAAACTCACACTCTAAATAAACAGTACTGTTTATCTTAGAAATGAGCAGTGTTAATTCTCTGAAACAAGAGTGACAATACTAATTTTAGTTCAGAGTTTACCATAAGCGAGGAAGTGTTCCTGTATGTGACATGTTTTATCACAAAATCTCATGAGGCAGATAATATTCCCAATTTACAGAAGAAGAAACTAAAGCATAAACACTCCAGTAATTTGTAAAACTAGTGAATTTGGATTTGAGTCCAGGCAGTCTAGCTGTAGAGTGAATATTCTTAGGTACCATTCTCTATTGTACACAGTAAAATGCTTCCAGTCTATAACTTAATCTACAAGCATTTGAAGCACTTCCAAAACATAGGTGTTTACCTATATTAATCAAAAGAAAGTTTAGTACTGTATCCTATTTTGTATTGTCATTAAATGGTAGAATACACAGTGAAGATATAGAATATTGAACTATGTTAACTAGTCAAATTTTTAAAATGATTCTTATATTTCATAAATATGACATTTTTGGCTAACTACTGAAATAGTGACTAAATTTTAAAATAGCAAGGACTTAGCCATCTTTCTGTGATTTGAACAAAAAGAATTCTCACTCTTCATAATTCTACACACTTGGATTCCTTTATATTAAGATTTAATTCTGATATTTATGCCTCCTTCTCCTCTTGGCACAGATAATGTAAATGGACACTGCACAAGCCCAACTTCTCAGAGTTGCGGTTCTGGAAAACGCCTTTCCAGCGCTGATGTTTCCAAAGTAAACCGCTGGGGTCCTGGAAAACCACCTTTTCGAAAAGCACAGTCAGCTGCCTGCATGGAGATTTCTTTACCAGTTACAACAGAAGGTAGGTTAAACATACACATTTTTGTGGATACAAGTAAAATTTGACATACCATGCATGGTATTGGGAGCTGGAGGACAAGGGAAGGAGGTCATGTGTAAAAGTTAAACAAAACAGTCAACTCTAGGCCGTGACTAACAGAGCCTGGTCGGCTGTTGTCATGATGCCAAATCCATTCCCCACTCCCCCTCCTTCTTCACCTCTGAAACCAGAATGGCTCTGCCTATTGGTAGGCTCCCACCTCCTTTGTACAAAGGGTGACCTATGCCTTAATCTGTTGTCTGTACTTCAAAGCTTATTCTCATCTCTAAATTCTATTAAAATAACTATGTTTATAAACTTGCCAAGGGATAGGAAGGGGAAATTAGGAATACTATATTTTGTTTTCTAGAAAAAGAATAGTCTGAGAATTTATACTTAGTCTCTGTTTATAAAAATGAGTCACAGTCTGCCTATCAAGAGGGAACAGTGAGGGAAGGCAATAGAAATAAGAATATGAGAAACTTGTACTCTGGAGTTTCTAAGAATACAACCTTCCTAATACCCTTTAACTGAGGTGGTGAGTTTATGCTGCTGGAGTGTGTGCACTGTTAAGTATTGATGAGCAGAAGAACCCGAAACCATCCCTTGTTTTTTTAAGTGGGCTGAAGCCTCTGAGAAGATTACCACTGTCAATCGGATAGCACTGTCCACAGCTCCTTTCTTGGCCCCACACAATTAGGACTGAATTTGGATTCAAGGCAGGCAGCTGGGAACTAGTTCAGGAAGATAACATTTGCTCTTTGGCCTTGGTAAATAGTTCAGTTTTTTACAGCTGTAATTACTCCAGTTATAGCAAAACCAAAACGTGCATTAAGGAAATGTATTTGCCATAGAGCATTTGTGATCCTTCAGGTTAGTAGCCACTATGTTGTCACTAAGTGGAAATTGCCAAGAAATCGTTAGGAATACTTCCAACAATTGAGAGATAGATAGGAAGCATAATTAAAATGGTACCAGAAGTTCTTGTAACTTTGACTATTTAGGCTAAATATTTTTTCCAGGTTAGAGAATATCAACTAACATGTGAGATGATGTAGAGAGAAAAGCATGGTGAACTGGAGAGTCGAGTTCTAGTCCCAGCCCTGCTTATGTTGATTTACACTCTGCACTTTAAGTCTATTCCTCTTCAAAATAACCTGGCGAACTGGATAAGCTGCCTTCCTGATCAGCTAACAAAGAATAAAATTCTATGTCCCCTTCATAATTTTGGTTTTCATGTACTAAGTCTGACTTTACTTTTTCTGGAAGTACACTACATTTAATCTTTGTTCTTTAAATTTCCACAGAGAGCCGAGAAAATTCCTATAGTCGTTCTAGAAGCTCTAGCATTTCCAGTATTGACAAAGACTCCAAAGAAGCAATTACAGCACTGTACTTCATGGAGTCCTTTGCTCGGAAAAATGACTCCACCATCTCCCCTTGTTTGTTTGTTGGAACTAGTCTGGGGATGGTGTTAATCATGTCCCTGAGCCTCCCTTCAGCAGAGGAACAAAGACTCACAGAGCCAGTCATGGTATTGCCAACCGGTAAGAGTTTTTAGTTATTCCTTCTTTGTCACTTTTTAAAATTTAGATATAAGGTATTACAATACCTTCATTGTATTGATGTATTCTGTATAATAGGAACTATTGAGAATTTCATAAGTCATATACTATTTCAACATTTGTCATATTCCAACTTACCCTTCCTTTACAGTGGTTCTCAACTTTCCTAATGCCACGACCCTTTAATACAGTTCCTCATGTTGTGGTGACCCCCAAACATAAAATTATTTTCATTGCTACTTCATAACTGTAATTTTGCTACTGTTATGAATCATAATGTAAACATCTGATATGCAGGATGTATTTAGGCGACCCCTGTGAAAGGGTCGTTCGACCCCCAAAGGGGTTGCGACCCACAGGTTGAGAACCACTGCTTTAGGGTAAAATAGCACAACCATTTCTATGGTAAGTAAACTGGAACAGCCAACCTAAACATTGCCTTGGAAAAGAAGTTCCTCTGAAGCACTGAACTGAAGAAAAACCTCAATGCAAAAGTTAAAAAGTTATTTTTAATGAACTGAAGCATTTCTCCAAAGTTCCATACCAGATCAGAGCCTATGAGTGTTTTCGTAGCATTCTTGAAGAACTCAGAACAATTAAGCTAAAAGTGTCTGACTTGAGGTAGCTGTAAAGTCTTTGATAAACTTCTCATCTTGTTTCACTCAATTTCTTTCCTTTTTATCCTGTTGCTCAAACATATGTTGTATTCTCTTCCTACTTGAATTATCTTTTTTTTTATTCAAAGAGATGAGTGAGATTCCTACTGTTATTCCTTTTAATATTTTTTAATTTGTTCTCTTTCCTATTTATGATAAAAGTTATCTGAGAAACATTTCTAAAAAAGAATTTTATTAATATATAGCATAAGGAATTTTATTTTAAAAGAACACATATATATGGTATAGTAAGTTAAAGTTGTGTTTTCTTAGTTAACTGGTTGTGCTAAATTCTTATATATGAATTATTACTTACTAGAGCCCCGATGCATGAATTCGTGCACCAGTGGGATCCCTCAGCCTGGCCTGCAGGATTGGGCTGAAACTGGCTCTCTGATATCCCCTGAGGGGTCCTAGATTGCAAGAGGGCGCAGGCCAGGCCGAGGGATACCACTGGTGTACGATCGGGGCCAGGGAGGGACGCAGGCAGTTGGCCAGCCAGGAAGGGACTGTGGGAGGGCTCCAGGGCATGTCTGGTCCATCTTGCTCAGTCCCAATTGGCCAGACCCCAGCAGCAAGCAAACCTACTAGTTGGAGCATCTGCCCCCTGGTGGTCAGTGCAAGTCATAACGAGCAGTTGAATGGCCTTAGCATATCATTAGCATGTTATGCTTTGATTAGTTGAACAGCTGACTGGACAACTGGACACTTAGCATATTAGGCTTTTATTATATAGGACTAGAGGCCCAATACACGAATTTCATGCAAGAGTAGGCCTTCACTGCCCCGGCTGCCTCAGCCCTCACAGCCCTGGCTTCATCTGGAAGTTCATCCGGACAGTCGTTCCGCTCTTCAGCCTGTTGATTTCTATATTGCGCTTTTATTATTATGGTTTTAAGTGGAATAGCTCTCTCTACTAGTGTGGCAAATTCACATAAATGCATGTATATGGCTTAAACAACAGTTTATTTTCTCATACTTCTGAAGGCTAGAGGTCCAAGAGTAAGGTGTTGGCAATTTTGGTTTCTTCTGAGGCCTCTCCTTAGATGTGAAGGGGGCCATCACTCAGTATGCATGTACCCCTGGGGGCTGCCTGTCCCAATCTCCTCTTCTTAGTCTGTTGGATTAGGGTCCACCCTAACAGCCTCATTTTAACTTAATCATCTCTTTAAAGTCTATCTTAAAGTCACAGTATGAGGTACTAGGGTTTATGGCTTCAACATATGAATGGGGGGGCCCACAATTCAAACTATAACATGCATTGTATTTTAGAAGTTAATCTATTTGGATCATTTTTAAATATATTTTTAAATTATAGTTGACATATATTAATTTCAAGTGTACATTAGTGATTCGACATTTATAGACTTTATAAAGTGATCACCATAAGTCTAGTGACCATTCGACACCATAGATAATTATTACGATATTATTGACTATATTCCCTATGCCCATGACTTTTTTTATAAATGGCAGTTTGTACATCTTAGTCCCCTACTTCACTTTTTCACCCATCCCCCAAAACTCTGCTATCTGGCAATCATCAGTTTGTTCTCTGCATCTATGAGTGAAATAAGATAGAGGAAGACAAAAACTGTATGATTTCACTTATGTAGAATCTAAAAAATAAAGTGAGCAAACAAAGCTAAAACAAACTCATAGATACAGAGGATTACTTTTTAAATTATAAATTTATTTCACAATAAGAAAACATTTTTTACTACATTTCTAATTTTAAAGAAATATGCACAATTCTTTTAGTCCTTAGCTCACTATTTAGTGAAATTGAGAATTGTGGCTTTCTTTTTTTAAGTTAACCAAATTGACAAACCTTTGGCTACACCAGTGATGTAGCTCAGGTTGTAGTAGGGAGGGCAGGTTATTTAGAAAACTGGAGTCAGGTATACTTCTAGCCATTGAGGCCTCCTTTATGAAGGAATCCCTAATTAATTGTGCGGTCAGTTATTTACTGTAGACTGAATTGTTAAGATCTTATAGAATCTCTTAAATTTAAGCTTACTTCATAATGAGGTGTATTTCCGAAATAGTAGATTGTAATTTTGACCTGCTTAAGGTTTTTGTCGTTGTTGTTTTACGTTAGAGAAGATTAAAGATGGAGTGATAAAGATTAATAATACATTGTTGGGAAAACTTAAAACCCTGTAAATACCTAATGCACAGAATATAAACAGTCTTTTTTTTTTTTTACCACAAATTAGGAAACAAAGCAGCTGTTTTGCAAGGGCAGCTTATTGAGAAATTGTCGTTTTGATGCTGACAGATTGCAAGTATCAGGTATAAGTAAAATGGCTTCAAAAATGTAGATTTTTTTTATATTTTTAACCTACTCTAGGCTATCCCTAAGTTAAGGATGCTAAGGTATTTATACTTAGAAAAGTTTTCCCTTCATGGGTAGTTAGGAGATGTGCTTTTATTTAAAAAAAAACAACATTTCCTTCATGGGTAGTTAGGAGATGTGCTTTTATTTTTTTAAAAAAAACATTTATTTCTTTTTCTGTTTTTAAAAAATATATTTTATTGATTTTTCACAGAGAGGAAGGGAGAGAGATAGAAAGTTAGAAACGTCAATGAGAGAGAAACATCAATCAGCTGCCTCCTGCATATCTCCCACTGGGGATGTGCCCGCAACCCAGGTACATGCCCTTGACCGGAATCGAACCAGGGACCTTTCAGTCCGCAGGCTGAAGCTCTATCCACTGAGCCAAACCGGTTTCGGCAAGGAGATGTGCTTTTATAGAAGGATCAATTCTAGATTAATTCTAATCATTCGTTATAGCTTTTGGAATTATTTTTTTCTTCATGGGAGGTTGGGAGAGCTATTTTTTTATACCTTGACCCTCAGACTAAAGGCCTAAGCCCCTACTCTCCTATCCTCTTCAGTTACCTAGCAGGACGTTCACAGGCCACACATTCTGGTTTTAAAGTGAGTTTAAAAACACAACTGAGATGTTAAAGCTCTAAACATGTTATTTTGAATGTGATAAATTTTAAGTACTTCAAATTATAAAGTACTTTCTAAATGGAATGTATTTTTATATATCGCCTTCCCTTTTCATGTCTCTGTACACTCCTGAAGCCTATCAGCTTGATTAATCTTCTTACTCTCTCTACATGATGTTAAAGAACATGGGGAGGGTGGTGGTTGGAAGGCTGCTAGGGCACTCACTGCTTATGGGAGAGTCTGGAAATGTCAAAAGGTCAATCTTCAAGTTACCTTCAAAGCTTTGTAGTATCCTGTCTTCTGGGGCAGGTGAAAATCACCCACAGGTAGTAATCTGGCCTGGATATTCAACTTGGAGAATGCAGGTGAGTAAACCTCTCTTCGGTATAAAGATGGATTAGCCTGCCCAAGAGCCAAAGGTAGTTTGTTTTATTTCATATAATAAAAATTGTTAGCATGGACTCTAGATGGTAAAATTGCATTAAATGTATTCTGAGTGCTCAATTTCAGAAGGAAAACAGCATTTTCTAGTGAATGAGCCTATGAGAGAAGTGGAATCAGATGACATGATTATTTTTTTCAGTTGAAATTATTTCAATAAATAAAAATTACACATTTTCTGAAATTTCCTTTTTTAAAAATATTTTATTCATTTCTTAAAGAGAGGAAGGGAGAGGGACAGAGAGTTAGAAACATCGATGAGAGAGACATCGATCAGACTGCGAGAGGGCACAAGCTGGGTTGAGGGACCCCCTAAGTGCACAAATTTTTGTGCACTGGGCCTCCAGTATAGTATAAAGAAAGAACACTGGATTAGGAATCAGAAAACCTGAGTTCTAGTCTAGACTCAGCAACTAACTTGACTTGGCCCAAGTCTCATCATCTTTCTGGGTCTCCACTTTCTTATTAGTCTACTGAGAGCATACGACAAGTTGATGTCTTAGGCTCCTGTCAGAACTAACATTCTATGAGTCCAAGTTGTTGGAACCGATGGACTTATAAATCTACTGATTCATGTATATTATTGCAATATTATATTATAGATATAAATTATAATATAAAACATTCATTGCCCATAGATGAACAACAGTTGTTTTAGAAAGAATTTCACATGCCAATGACATAAAATTGTTTTTTATAGGTACATTCCTCTCATTGAAAGGAGCTGTGCTAACATTCTCCTGTATGGATCGAACTGGTGGATTAATGCAACCACCATATGAAGTTTGGAGGGACCCAAACAACGTAGATGAAAATGAAAAATCTTGGAGAAGGAAACTGGTCGTGAACTGCCCCTCTCTGTCACAAGAAACAGGAGATCATCAGTATACAATAATCTGTTCAGAAAAACAAGCCAAAGTTTTCTCACTGCCTTCTCAGACTTGCCTTTATGTTCATAACATCACCGAGACATCTTTTATACTGCAAGCAGATGTGGTGGTCATATGTAACAGTGCCTGCTTGGCATGCTTTTGTGCCAATGGGCATATCATGATAATGAGGTACTTGCCTTCTTTATAAATTATCTGGTAATCACAACAGTGCCAACAAAGTGCAATTCTGAGAAGTATATGTGTAATCCGCAAGATGTTATCAAGAAGCAACCTGAGACCCTTGTTTCATTGTGTTTTTGAATGTCTTATTGTTCTACAATTTGAGAAGAGTTTAGCTTTTTTATTTTTTGTCTTGGTTGGGTGTTTTGTTTTGCTAAAAATGCTTTGCATTGTGAATAAAAAATGTATTTTAATTGACATTGAGGAATCTAAGGACAGAGTGATTTTCCAGTCACTCACACATTCATTCAGCAAATATTTATTGAGTATATGTCATCTCCCAGAAGCTATACTAGGCACTGGAAATATAAAGAAACTATAAGGAAAATAAGTGAACTGTTACTTTTACTGTGTTTCATAGTCCACATGAGAATTTTACATACAGAATTTAATTTGATCCTTTTAGCTTCTCTAGGACATAGAAAATACAGTATTATTTGCATCCACTATTGTACACATGTTAGTGAATTAATCTCTTCCCCACAACCAATTAATTTGACTGAATCTATCATGGATGTCTGTTTAACTGGGTATGTTTTGGACTCATGTCCAAAGGAGCTTAGTTACTTGAAATGCCATAACATATACTTTTTAGTAATTGTTTTTATACTAAGTCTTTGAAATCCAGTATATAGTTTACACTTACAGAACATCTCAATCCAGACGAGCCACATATCAACTGCTCAATAGGCACTTGTGGCTAGTAGCTACCACCTTGGACATCACACTGCTAGGACCTTATGAAAAGCTTATTCCAACAGCACATATTTCAGGTCTCATTTTATATGATAAGGTTTAAATTGTAATTACAAACTATTTTCAGATAGGAAATTAGTACTTTTTTTCAAGGTGCTGGTTTTATCACCTGGAATAACTTAAAATCACTGTGCATATGGGAATTAGTAGGAATATTTCAAAGCTTGAGATATAATTACAAGTTGATTTTTCTCCAATTGGCATTTGAGGTGTGATTTACAAGCAATGAGATATTTCCTTCAGTAGTTTGTAAAATTGGCTCTAATGACAATATCCAAGGGACATTGTTTAAAAAAATGAATTTAAGGGAAATCATTGGCTATAACATTAGGATAAGCATTTAGCCTTTCAGTAAGACACTAGGAAATGAATGGTATTCATCTGAATGTAAAAATTCTCATCTATAACTTATTCTCATTCCCTTACAGTCTGGCCATGCTTATATTTATTAATCATGCCTCCAATGTAGTTATAGGTAATTTCCATTTCCTGTGTACTGAGGGAGTAAAGAAATGGAGAGCGAAGCCACTCCATTCCCAGGCACAGTGAACTGGATCCACTCCATGTCTCCATCAGTTCATAAACTTCCTTAAACTCAGGAGTTTTACCTTAAAAGACCAAGTATGTAGTCAGGCACTTTCTAGCGGTAGTGTTTCTGTCATAACCAAAGATTATAACCATACTGTAGAAACCTGTGAAATGCTGCAAAAAGTACCCTGAAATTGCTGGCCACTTCACTTAATTTGATCTTCAAGGACATTTGCTAAATAATAGATGGATTAAGATAGAAGAATTGTGCCCGTGATTTTTTATGTATACGATTTTATGTCAAAGTCATTTTATTACCACTGAGACTTCAAGAGATTAAAAAGAAACAACCACAAAATAGAGGCATAAAAATTACTGTTTTTCTGTACAGCTTTTAAGAAATTAAAAGCTTCTAACAATTTGAATATAATGTGGATTTGCTTTTTTTCCCATGCAGCCTGCCTAGTCTTCGCCCAATGTTGGATGTTAATTATTTGCCACTGACAGACATGAGGATAGCACGGACATTTTGTTTCACTAATGAAGGACAGGCATTATACCTAGTCTCTCCTACTGAAATTCAGCGGTTAACATACAGCCAAGAAATGTGTGATAATCTACAGGTAGGTCAGGCACACAAAAAAATCATTGGAATGGTTGTAAAAAGAGAGAGAATGAGAGAGATGTCAAAAAACTAAAATACTGCCCAGGTCGGTGTGGCTCAGCTGGTTGGAGCATCTTCCCGTACACCAAAAGATGGCGGGTTCAATTCCCTCAGGGCACATACCCAGGTTGCAGGTTTGATGCCCAGAGTGCATGCGTGAATGTGTGTGTGTGTGTGTGTGTGTGTGTGTAGGGGGGGACGGGAGGGGGAAAAGTGGCGCATAACTAGTTGATGTTTCTCTCTTTCTCCCCCTCCCTTTTTCTCTTTTAAAAAATAACTTTTTAAAAAAAAAGCGTTAAAAAAAATAAAAGCTAAAACATTATTGGGCCAGACAATAAATATGCCTTTCCTAAAATATGTCTTGAATGTTATGTTCATCACTGTGACCCTTACCAAGTGTGTTTCTAGGTATACACAGAAAAAGTAAGTAAGGGGGGAAATGTGAAGATTATGCATATTAACGGTTAATTTTTAAATGTTGGGTGTTGGGTTTTTTTTTTTAACCTGTGGGGAATGCTCTGAAAGATGATAAGCTCTTCCTCCAGGATGGAGAATATGTCTGTACACACAAAAACTTTGCATACAATTCAGGGAGTTCATTGACCTTTTTTAAGGAAAACTTACTTTGGTTAACAGCCATACAAAAGAAACACATACTTATTCTGTGGGTTAGAATTGGGCATTTGTCCTTGATCATAGCAGCAAGCAGAGCCTAGAAACAGAATAAATATAAAAGCCTGCGTAACCTTGGGTAAGCACAAGTGGTCACAAAAATTTAAAAATATCTTAAAAATTTTATTGGTTCAATCCCCTTATTATACAAATAAGCAAACTAAGAGCCATCCATTATAACACAGAGTTTAAGAGTATAAGCTCTGAACCATTTAAGTGTATTTTGCCCACTTGCAAAACTGTGGGTATTTTACTTAGCCTACCTGTATGCTCTACCTTAGAGCATCATGTGATAATTAAGGAAGAATTGATATAAAGCACTGAAATATAGGAAGTGCCTGAAATATAGGAAGTTTTTAAAATAAATAATAATGTTATTATCATTATTCAACAAATACTGAGTTGATCCTGTATGCCTGGTAGTTGGCTAGGCTCTAAGAATATAATAATAAACGACATATAAGTCCCTACCTGCTAGAGTGGAAGGAGACAACAATACTCTATGGAAATGCTGTCTATAGATGGCTGAGCCGGTCGGTACTGGGGAGACAGGTAGAGGCTGATGAAAAGAGAAAGCGGGTAGTTAAAAAAGCATGTGAAGGGTGAGTAGGAGTTACCCAAGAGAATGGCTGGCTGTGGGTGGAAAAGGTGATACTATTCTTGCCAGAGAGGCTTAGGGAACTGCCAATGAAGTTCGGAGTTGGGAAGTGAAAAGAGTGAAGGATGGTGCTGGAGATTTAGTCAAGAACAGAGCTTGGATCACCTTTAGGCTCCATCTATCCCAAGGGCATTTCCCCCAAGGGCAACAGGAAGTCATTTAAAAGATTTAGCAAAGTGTTAAAACTAGTATTCCGTTGGCAGTATAACAATTGGTTTTGAGGAATTAGGACTGAAGGTGGGGAGAGCAATTAGGAGGCTTTTAAAAAATAATTAAGGCCAAAAATAACAGTGGCTTGAAATGAGGCAGCCAGCAGTGAGGATAGAGAAAGAAAGTTAGCAGATTCAATAGCTAAGAAGTGTAATCGGTGGGATTGGAGGATTATTAGCTGTAGGAGTGAGGGACAGGAAGGAATTGACTATTCCTGGGTTTTTAGCTTGGGAAACTAAATAGATGGTATACTGCCAATTCCAAAGAGAGGGATTAAGGAGGAGAGCTCAGGTCTGCTGAGTGGAGGTGAGGGAGATGAAGATGAAGTCATACAGCAAGCGCCTAGACAAACTGGCATTAGGTCACAGATCTGACTTGGGGTTGATGTCCCTTCCCCCATAGTGATAGTTCTCAAATTTTGATCTGCTTTAGAAAGACCTGGAGAGCAAGTGTAAAGTAGAAATAACCAGAGTGCATTTTTGTAGATTCTGACTGAGTGTGTGTGGAGTAAAGCCCGAGCATCTGTATTTCCAAGATTTTTCTCGTCACTGAAGCACACCGAAGTGAGAACAACTCACCTGTGCCTCACCACGCAGTAGCTGCCCATCTGACTCATTTAAATCATCTTGAGCCATTTCATAATTTTGTACTTGATATGAAAACAAATCAAACCTCTCTCCACATCCCACCACAGGCTTCCCATCTTGTAGGCACTCATGCTTATTCCCAGAGGGACTAGGTCAGGCAGAGGCTACAGTAATTGAAAAAGATCAGAAGTCTAGATTAATAGTCATTGACCAAGTGAAATTAACCCTCGAGTGAACATCCTATCTTCCCATGCTTTCTAATTGTAAAGGGAGTAAGAGCGCAGGAAAATGAAAATTTTAGGATAGCGATTCCTAAAGAAGGAGAGGGAATGACAGAGACAGGACTGGTGGCAAAGCAAAATCATAGAAAAATATTGAAAGCAAACTGTCTTTTCATGATGTGCTCTCACAGCCACAGTGTTATCTTTTGATCTATTAATTTATTTGTAGTTACTCCAATGCTTTTTCTTTGAATTTGATACAGGACATGCTAGGAGATTTGTTTACTCCCATAGAGACACCAGAAGCTCAGAACAGAGGTTTCCTAAAGGGACTGTTTGGTGGAAGTGGACAAACCTTTGACAGAGAAGAGCTCTGTGAGTAAATTCCTGATCCTAAAATTGTGTCACAAAATAGAAGATGCTTGTGTGTGTGTGTGTGTGCGCGCGCGCGCATGTGTGTGTGTGTGTGTGTGTGTGTGTGTGTGTGTGTGTATAACTTAACATAATATATGACTTCAAATTCTAGACTGGATTATTTTGCTTCTATACCATGAAAATTATTTATGTTTATCAAACCTGAATAAAGTTGATCACTTTATATTAGGAAATAGTTTAACGAAAATAGTACATGAAATTCATGCAAATAATGAGTAAGCTAATAGATGGGTCATCTGCAAGTAGATCATGCCTGCGTGGCAGGGTGAAGACATTCAGTTACTAATGCCTGTAAAAAACATTTTTGAACCTGCCTGCCTTTAACCACTGTTAGGAAACAGTTTTTTTCTTCAGAACACAAGGTTTATCAACACTACAGAGCAAATTACTTTAATATCTACCACTGAGACTCTGATGACCAGTAATAAAAAAGCAGTAGATAAATACTAGGCAACATTTTTAGAAAGAAGTCAAGAATATATTTTCCTTGTACACTGCTAGTGGGAATGTAAATTTGTGCAGCCACTATGGAAAATGGTACAGATATTCCTTTAAAAAATTAAAAAATAGAGCTAGCTGCCATATGACCCAGCAATTCCACTCTGGGTATTTGTCCAAAGAAAACAAAAACACTAATTAAAAAACATATGTGTACCCCTATGTTCATTGCAGCATTATTTACAGTATCCAGATATGGAAGCAATCTAGGTGTTTGTTGATAGATGAGTGGATAAAGAAGATATAATATATATATCTTCTTTATATATATATATATATTACTCAACCATAAAAAATAATGAAATAATGCCATTTATAACAATATGGATAAATCTAGAGAGTATTATGCTAAATGAAATAAGTTAGATGAGAAAGACAGTACTGTGATTTTACTTATATGATTTTACTTATATATGGAATCTAAAAAGCAAAACAAATTAACAAACAAAACAAGAACAGACCCATGGATATAGAGAACAAGTTAATGGTTTCCAAAAGGGAGGAAGGTTACAAAAGGATGGGGGGGAATAAGGTTTTCTAGAACATCTTATCATTTGATCTTGCAGATAAAAAATCTTTTACTAGTAAACTTTCACCTATGCAAAACATCTAGGTACTTCCATACAATGCAATATTTATTCTTCAGCCATAAAAAGGCATGAAATTTGATATATGCCACAACATGGGTGAACCTTGAAAACATCATGCTAAGTTAAAGAAGGAAGACGAAAAAGGTCACATATTATATGATTTATTCCATTTATATAAAATGTCCAGAATGAGAAATCCATAGAGACAGAAAGTAGATTAGTAGTTGCCAGGCACTGGGGCAAGAAGTGACTGTTTAATGGTTATGGCATTTCTTTTGGGGTAATGAAAAATTCTAAAATTTGATAGTGGTGACAGTTGCACAACTCTGAATACACTAAAAACCACTGACTTATACACTTTAAAAGGAAAATTTTATGGTATGTGAATTATATCCCAATAAGGCTCTTATAGACCTACATTCCATTCCTAATGTTACCTCTTTGGGAATGCTCACTAAATTTTTACCAGGCAGTTGTTTTTCAATTTTTAAAAATTACTTCATAAAATTAAATGAAACTGAGCTTTGTAAGTGATAGGTAAATGTTTAGTCCTTTATGAAGTAACAAAATTTCATCATATGTACATTAATGCCCATCATGCATATACCCCATTCTCTAATATTTACAGAGAGAGAGAGAGAAAGAGAGAGAGAGAGAGAGAGAGAGAGAGAGAGAGAGAGATTTAAAAACAACTGAGACCTATAAAGGCTGACAGCAAGATAAACAGAGAACACTGGAATGAAGACTTGGGCTGAAATTTAAACAAAAGAACAGACCTGTGATTGGAACAGACACTAATGTGAGTTCACATATGTTTCGAACACTCCAATTCAGCAACATCAAGGATGCAATTATCGTGCTTCCTGTCAGGATCAGAGTAGGCAAACTCTGCTCACCTCCTCCCATGATCACCTCGAGATTACAAATAGATTATAGAGCCACCTGACTCTATAATCAGACGAGCTGAACAGAATTCCTAGAACTAAGAATATAAAGAAGACAACACACGGAGACTAGTAGGAGGGGCTGAGGCTCAGATGGGCAGGTCCCACACCCACAGTGTGGTGACTAGAATCTAAGGGGAATTCTCAGTCATGGAGGTCCCCTGAGGAGCCGGAGGTCTGTTCCCACACTGGGCTCCCCAGCACAGGGCTCCAGTAGCAGGAAGAAGAGTCCCCGTAACGTCTGGCTGTGAAGAGACGTGGGGATCGCATCTGGGAAGGACAGGAGGCTACTGGAGACCGGGGAGAACCTCAAGCTTGTTACACAGACTCACTCACTCATAAACTCATAAACTCTAATTTCCAGCACAGGAGCAGCACCTCGAAAAGCTTCGGGGGCAGCAGGGAGAAACTAAATGGATAACTTCAGGGCAAGGCTGGAGGGGCAGGGCCAGAGCAGCTCTCCAGGGACAGAGCCTGGCAGGTGCCTTTGTTCCTTTGCGGAGCTCCCGTCCCAACCCGCCACCAGCGCAGGAGGGCACCACATCTGTGCTCCCCATTCACCAGATTAGCACTGTCCACCCGGCATGGTGATTGCCTGACACCCATCCCATTCAGCTCACCTGCCTGGCCCCAGCCTCTTCCAGTGGCTCCTCCACACAAGAGGCCCAACTTCCTCAAAATCTATCAAAGGTCCAAAAACCCAAACAAGCACAGCTGACCTGAAAAACTTTTCTAAAAATAACAAATAAAACACAAACTCATAGATACAGAGAACAAATTGGTAATGGCCAAAAGGGAAGGGTCTGGAGGGTTGGATGAAAAAGGTGAAGGGATTACGAACACAAATGGCCAGTTATCATGCCAGTTGTCAAAACAATCCTGGGAGGTGAAGTACAGCATAGGGAATATAGTCAATAGCATATTAATAACTATGTGTGGTGTAAGATGGGTACTAAACTTATTGGGGTGGTCACTCCATAAAGTATATAAATATATATGTCTAATCACTATGTTGTACCCCCTGAAACTAATGTAATATTGTATGTCAACTGTAATTTTAAAATAACTAAAAAATGTGATTAGGCTATATTGTGTGGCATACACACACACACACACACACACACACACAAAGGGATGTGGCAACAATAATTGTCACAGCCCTAACCGGTTTGGCTCAATGGGTAGAGCATCGGCCTGCGGACTCAAGGGTCCCAGGTTCAATTCCGGTCAAGGGCATGTACCTTGGTTGCGGGCACATCCCCAGTAGGGGGTGTGCAGGAGGCAGCTGATCGATGT